CGGTTTGTAAATATTTAAGGTTAAGTTAGTGTTGTCGTTTGTGTTGTAAAATATACGTTACTGGTTTTGTAAATATTTAAGGTTAAGTGGTGTACGGAGGCGCGCAGTGCCTCAGTACACGACTTAGCCATACTAACTGGAATCATAAATGGATCACGACGGTTGAATAATGTTGGAATTGCTCTTGCTGTGGATTCAATAACTCCATATCCTGGAACAATAAATTTATCTTCTGTAATTTGCATTTGAATAATGCTGAAAGTAACTTCACCACTCTCAACAGTAATTTGTGGTGAAGGAAGTTTTCCATGTTCAACAGTTGTTTCCTTAACTTCTATCTTAAGGGTTGTAAGAGCTTCGTTTCCAGCTATTGTTGGAGTTAATGTTTTAATTTGTCCCTTGTTAGCACGTTTAACACCCTTTATTAAAGTAGTTGGTTCACCAATTTGTTGAAATTCTCTTGTATAAGTTTTACCAAAATCTGTTGCTGTAACAGCTTGATAATCTGCTGGATCCATCTCTCCATAACAAACATATTGAATATCAGCAGCTCTCGCTGGATCAACTTGACAATAAACCATTGAATGAGGTGTGTTATAATATTTAAGTAAGTTAGTATCTAGTAATTGGGTACCAAGGGTCTACGCCCCTTAGTACTCAAATTACTAGAATTTACAAAAACCGTTTGACACGTAAAATATTTTCGACATTTACAAAAATAAAAAAATAATTTTTTAAAAAATAAACTTAAAAATAAACTTTAAAATTTTTGACACTTTACAAAATAAAAAAAATAATTTTTTAAAAATAAACTTAAAAATTAACGTTAAAATTTTTGACACTTCACAAAATAAAAAAATAATTTTTTAAAAATAAACTTAAAAATTAACGTTAAAATTTTTGACACTTCACAAAATAAAAAAATAATTTTTTAAAAATAAACTTAAAAATTAACGTTAAATTTTTTAAATTTTTTTATCATAGATTTTAACACCCAGAGTAAAAAAAAATAATTTTTTAAAAATAAATTAACCCAAAAATTTTTTAATTTCTGTATATACTAAATTTTTCATAAATGATAAAATTAATTTTAGGGTATATCTAACCCGATATCTAACCCGATTTCTCACCTTGTGAATTTTCAACAGTAAATATACTGGCATGATTCAGGAATGTCATTGCTGCTGTCTTCAAACTCTTTTATAGATTCATACCATAAACGAGCTTCACGGGAGATGAGAAGTAATGAAACAATAATTAATAATTTATTAGTAAAATTCATTTTATATAAAAATAAAATTTTATATCTAATCTGATTTTTCGAATTCGTCTAATTTCTTCTTCAGTTCTGCTATGTTATCTTCATATAATTTAATCTTTCTTAATATTCCATCTTTATTTAATGGCTGCTTAATTTTTCTAAATTGAACTCTACCATCTTTCATTTGATGAACATAAAAACCTTCTGGAATAGTTCCTGATTTAATGTATTCAACTAAAAACTTTTGTTTTGTTGCTTCAGTAATTTTAGTACTCATTTTATTAAAAGTAAAAAATAAAAAATATTTTTAAAATTAACTTTATTTTTTATGAGGACTCTCTGAGTCCATCTGAGCCGCTTAGCGGCTTCGTCGTCTTTTCCTTAATTCCTGCGGATCAACTAGGTCGGTTGAAGGTCTTTGACTTTCTTTATAGTGCTTATAGAGTGTATAAGCCGCCATATGATAAAGATAATTAAACCATAAATACGCTTTACCTAAAGTTTTCAATCGATTATATAAATCATTATTGTTAGGCGTTGCAGGTGGTGCAGGGTATTCGAGAACATCTCTAACCATTTAATTACTTTAAAACTCTTGGTTTCTTTTTAGTTTTTAACAGTTTCTTTGCTTTTGCGATTTTAGCTAAAATATATCTTCGACCGTAATGGAACCAATTCGAACCTCCTGTTTTAGGGTCAAAAGGTCTTCCATAAGCGTTCGGGTCATATGGTGCGACTGCAGTTACTGGCGCTGGTGCTGGTGATGGCGCAGGTGCTGAATTAATCGGCGGTGCCTCAATTGGTGGATATTCTGGCTGTTTCTCCTTTTCTTTAAGTGAATTTAATTTAAACTCTTCACCATTCAGCTGACCTTTAAAATCTTTTAACTGCTTAGATATTTCATTATCTTCACCTAAAAGGTTTGCGACTGGTCAGCGACCCAGTTACCTAATTTCTTTAACTTTTCAGATTTTAATTTTCTGGCAGCAGCTCCCACAAGCATTCCAGCATTATTTTTTAAAGCTTTTGATACAGCTCCACCAGTTAAACCGTCAATAGCTTTATAACCTCCATACAAAGCTGATAGTGTTGAAAATACCATTTAATGCTTATTAAAATCATTTCTCATAATGATTAACTCATAAAATTTTTCATCGGAGCTAAACGTTAATGAAACTCTGACTTTTTCACCACTGAACCTCTTTATTAGTTCATTAATTCTATCAATTATATTAGCACACTCACTTACATCATCAATGATAGTAATATCATCACAAATTATTTTTACATTTAACGACGTCATTTATTACAAATTAATTTCTTCTATTCTTTAAATAATTAATAAAAGACCTAATACGTGTGAGTGGTTCGCGGTTCCTTTCCTGTGTCGGGCTTGTTTGAATCGGTGTAGATTTTTTCAGACCTGTTGGAATAAGATCAGCCCCGGCAGTTGAATTAATCGGTGTTCTATATAAATTTCTATATAAATATGGTCCCGCTACAGCACCAGCAGCTAATAAAAGACCTACAGGAATTACAATTCTATTATAATTCCGCGGTTTAGGATCTTCATCAAAACTAGCCCATGCGCTTTCAGTCGTTGAACTCATTTATATATAATTAAATTTTAATAAGCGATTAATATGAGTTCGATAATAATACTATCTTTTCTGTCATCAGGAAGGACAATATCTTTTAGGCTCGATGGTTCAACTAATTTTATATTAAATTTATTAACATAATTAGTTATTGAATAATGCTTCGGCGGAGAATATAAACAGTTTGATAAACATAAAATAGAATCTTCAGCGAATTCACTTATACTTGATTTAATGATTGCCGCTTCTCTGGACCAAACACCATTAAATGAAATTGATGTTAATAAATAATCATCATTTTTAATGGAAATTGATTTTGGTAAGTACTCCAGGAGGTCATTTAATGTTATCTGTTCTGCTCCGAACTGAGCAAATCGATAAAAGCATTCATCATTATTAATTCCTGTAATCTCTTGAAAATTTTTATTCGTGTATATATTTTCAATCTCATCACCGACAGCACCATCTTTTAAATCAAATATGAAACCAGCTTTTGAATTTGAATTAACACGAAATTCTATTGAATTAGTTTCAAAACTATAAAACATATCAACTTCATTAGGTTGAGGATATCCGGCACCTTTTAACTGTTCAATAAGAACCGATTTAATCTTTTTATTAAATGCTGTCATATCATCTCCTGTGTCTAAATCTATATAAATCTGTAAATCATATTGATGATTATCTCTTATTATTCCAAAGTTATATAATTCAATGGTTCGTCCTGCAGGAATGGTTTTTATCTGTCTTATTTCAATTGCTTTTTCACCAGTGTTATAATCAACCCAGTGTTTAGGGTATTCATAAATGTATTCACCATTGATTATTTTAAACGGTTGTGAAAATATGTGCTCATAATAGATTTTAATACTTTTATCATTAAGACTGGGAACGGTATTAACAAAATTTCTGACTTGTAATGCATGAAAAATAGCGTGACTTCACTTTTGACAGTTTACAAATGTAAAGTGTTGCATCCTTAAAAACTTGGAAATATATACATTCATGAATTATCTTGTATATTAATTGAAAATCCATAAAACCCTAACAATATTTTTTCTTAAAAAAAACTATAAAAATATAAATAAAATTAATCGTTAAATAAAAATATTTGATATTAGAATTTTATTGGAAAAATAAAAAACTTAATATTTTAAAGAAATACTTAAATACTTGAATGTTTTAACTTTTACATTATCATATAGACTCTCAAATTATTAGCCATTTTGGCTGAGAACTATGGTCTGCGAGGTACATAGATAGAATCAGTACCTCGCAGACTATAGTTCTCTATATGGCGCCGAAAAATTTTTGGTGAAATGTCGTCGCATTTCACCAAAAATTTTTTCGGCGCCATAGGAAGAATTGGAGGGTGTGAGATACTATTACATGCTATAGTACTCACACCCTCCAATTCTTAGCCAAAATCGCATAAAATTTGCTACTTATCTTCAGATTACCTCCCATTATAAAATATATCATTGCTATCTCATTGTACTATATTTCCACCCTATTGTATTTAAAAATATAAAATTTTTTGATAATATATTTTTATATCTTGAATTTTCAAACAATATATTCACAGATAATATAATGGAAAATCTATCTCAACCTAGCCTTAAAGTACCAAACTCCTGCTTGCATTCTCACTCACAAATATTAAACATCCATCTCCAAAAAACTAAATTCTTCACAATTTTTTTAAAATTGAGAACATAAAAAACGTATGCATTCAATAATTTAAGATACTAACAAATATTAAAAACTTCAAAATATCAGATATTAACGTTTTTCAATTAAAAAAAATATCATTTTGCTTTTCAATTCGAACATAAATCTTAAATATTTTTAATTAATATCTGATTTACAGCATTATTATCCATTTATAAATCTGACAAATAAATGACAAAACCATCAGAAATAGTGTCACTTTTTGTCAAAAGTGAAGTCACGCTATTTTTCATGCACAACAAACAAAATTTCTGACTTGCATTTTTAATTATAATAAAATGAAACATTTATTTGAAGAAGTAGATGAAAAAATGAATGAAAAATCTGATAAACTCAATAGTTCATTAATTCTTCCCTTCAGTAAGGATTATCAGTTCTGTTCAAACGGTGTGTATTTCTATTGCGGAAAAATGGGTTCGGGAAAGACTTTTAATTTAATACGTCATATTTTAATTACTGAACGGTTAGGCTCTGAACACGCTAAAGGCGTGTTGAGCTCCGAAGGAGCGAATTCATATTATGACCAAATCATTATATCAGCAACTTCAGATTCAATGGATTCAACAGCGAAGACGTTTATGAGTAAAGTTCAGGCATCTGTTGTGAAGGTTCCAGATAGCGAATTAATTTCTTTTCTTCAACGTTATATAAGAAGAAAGAAGAAATATTATGCAATAGTTGAATTTATACAATCAGGAATGCAAAAGACCTCGGAAGAAATGGAAAGAATTATTGATAAACATCATTTGAGACAGCAGGATGGTACGTATGATATGAAACGATTGACAAACTACATTCTCTCAAAACTTTCAAAATATCCTTTTAAAAAATATCCATCAAACACTTTATTAGTTTGTGATGATTTCGCTGGTAAAGGTTTAGTTTCAAAACCAGATTCACCATTAGCTAATTTAATTACTAAAGTCAGACATTATCACATGACTGTAGCAATACTTATGCAGACGTGGAGGTTTTTAGCTTTAAACATTAAACGTCTCATTACTGATTTCGTTATATTTCAAGGTTTCTCAAAATACGATATAGAATTAATTTGGAAGCAATCAGGTATAACATTACCTTTTGATGAAATCTGGGATGCTTATAAATCACTCATTTCACCACGTTCATATTTAGAAATTCATATAATGACTAATACAATTAATGTTAAAAATATACCTTGGGAAAGACCAACATTATTTTAAAGCTTTATTTTTAGATGAGGTGTAGTGAATAGATTCCATCCATCTCTATCACCATTTCTGTTTATATTTTTGGTGTCATTCATGTCCACACTTTCTGGATCAGTTAGTTTTTGAGGATAAAGATTAGAATAACTGTTTTTAATCGATGGTGCTTCACCTTTTAACGCATAAACTCTATTACTTTCTGCATATTTAATGTTTGAACCACCAGAACCATCATTTACGTAAATAGTAAATGGTTTATAATCGATGTTCATATTTCGACTTCTGCCTTTTGATTTCTTATTTAACACCTCAACATCTTTATAAACTGCGCCCGTTTCAGTGAATTCAACAAGATTTTCATTTTCAAGTTTCACGTTTAAACCTTTATCAAAGATATTATTCATTTTTATAGTAATAAAAGGTTTTTATTCTCTAGAAAATGAGAAGTAAATCCATCTTAGCCGGTGCAGTGAATGTTCCAATCGAACCGACGTCGAATGTTGATTCAAGAACGACAAATAATATTATAATCAAAAATTATAGTTCTGAGAACTTGAAAGAAAAGGAACCTATTTCCTATGGTCCTGTGAAAGAACTGAAATCCGTTAATTTAAACACAGCTTCAAGCGCAAATGCAAATAGTGAAGTTAAGTTAGAATATCCACCTCCATTAGAGCCAATAATTTCACGTGAAGCTCAGGATAATCCATATTCAAATGTTCAGACTTCTACAGCAGATAACGTAGACCATTACCTCCTTAATTTATACCAAACAATATTACTCAAAGACGATAAGAAGCTTTTGACAAATCTTATTAGTAAGAATCAAATAATTTTAACAAAGGAGGATTTAGAAAATGTTATATCAAGAATAACAGGGAAACAGTGCGTTATTGATTATCTTGACCCTGAAATCGAATGTTGTGGTCAAACCAGTATTTATGAAAATCGGTAATATTAGAATAATCGAAACACCAGGAACTACAGGAGTTGAGTTTAAGTATAAATATTCGAATGAATACACAAAACTTTCAACAGAATATAAACTTTGCTTGAAATATGTTTTAACGAATTAATTTAAAATTTATATTTTTATGGGCGAAGCCCCGTCGCGTAGCGGCTCCCTGGTTCATCATCTAGTCCATTAGCTCTTATATTAGACCAAAAATCAACTTCTATAGTCATCTGCACAGGAGCTTTAATTTCAATTGGTTCGCCTTGAAAATCAACTAATCTAAATGTCATATCTTTTAAGTGGTGTGGTTGTATTCGAACCCATTTTCCTTCGTGTCTTAATAAAATCGGAAAATTAGGCATGAATACAGAATTAACGGCGTAACAGAACGATTTATATTCTATAACAGAATTTTTATTATTAACTCCTGAAATTCCTGTTACATTACTTATTTTTGATTCAACATATAAACAGTTTCCATAACATATGTAGGGTGCAGATTTCATTTCAATTATATATTTTTGATTTTCAATAGAAGATTTTAATGGTAATTCTTGATGATAAGCACCTAATAATAAACGTGCTCGATGAGTCATATCAGTAATTTTAAATTCTTTTTCGGAACTAAATTTTATTATTCCTGAATCAGTTAATTCACAGTTAAGGGCTCCATTAAATTTTTCATCAATGAGATCCTGAATCTTTTTCTCTAACGTATCAATATCATATTTATTTCTTGCTTTAAAATGAATTTCAGTACTAATACCATCAATTTCAAAAGTAATGAAATCGTTAGTGTCTGTTATAACAAATGAAGCGATAGTGCTAAAATCAAGAACTCTGAAAGCTAGTGGTTCATTCTGAAGACCAAGGTTAGTTTGTAATTTTAATGTCCCGTAATCATTAGGGTCTGTACTTTGCAAATAGAACAACATTTTATTCTAATTAAAAATATGAGTATATCCGCATATTCTTATGAAGCTGATAGGGCGAAAAGATTAATTTTGGTTCATACACGTTTTCATTTGATGATGAGCATTTAATTATCACTGATGGAAAAACTGAACATTATATCTCATGGAAAGAATATGAAAAATTCATTCCAATATTAACGCCATGTACAATGCCTTTATAAAGACGGTGAAATTATTGAAAAAGATAACACAACAGTATATAGGTCTGTTTATGAAGCATTAGAATATATGTTGAATTATAATCCCGAAAGATTTGACCCAAGCACTACGCCATGTGCAATGCCCTTTATTAAGGATGGTGAAATCGTAAGGGTTCCGAATTCAACGGTTTATACAGCTGTTCAAAACAGTTTACAAAACATTTTAGCGAATATCTTTAATTCAGAAACTACGGAAATAAAATTACCGTATATAACAGATGCTAAAGAAATTAAATCAAAAACAACAACATTATTTGCATCACTTAATGATTTAATGACTTATATAATTAATACTCCCCAGCCGACTACGGCATTTGATCCAAACTCGACGGTTTGCAGCGTACCTTTCATTAACGACAGTTCAGTAATTGAATTAAGGGATTCAACAGTAAATGAATCATTAAAGGCTTCATTAATGAAAATCATTGATTTTAACTCATTCATGAATACATATAATTCATTCATTAATGTTTCATACACTTCTAAAGAAGGTGAGCCAAAAACTATGATAAAGCGGTGTATGAAATAAAAGCATCAATGACGAAATTGAATTCGTTAACTTTTGACGGTGATAGTTCCGTTAACAGCATGACATCAGGAAAAACGATTTTAACGAAAGAATATTTAAAATCTCATGTTAGTGTGTTCGTTGAAATTGAAAAAGAAGGTGGAATTAAGTTCGATCCACTGGGTTTCATTTTCGACTTAGCGAATGCGGGTGTTAGTTTCGCTGAATGGACAACTATACAGAGTGAGATAAACGCTATATGGACGTTTTTGGGGTCAAAAGCGGGAATGGGTGAGCTTGTAGATGCTGCAAGAACATTAGGTGAAACGGGAAATTTTGTAGATGGTTTTAAAAGACTTGTTTCAAATGTTTTAACAAACACAAAGAAATTATTTAGATATACCGTACATAACGGACAGATTTTCGAACAGGTAGCAACAAACCCTCCGGTTATGGCTGCGTTGATGATGGCTAGAGACATAAACGAAGAAGAGGAGAAACCAGAGGATACGGGTCAGGTTATTCGAGACATTAAAAACGTGTATCCTGAAGTTATTGATTTATTTAGAGGTGTTAATGATTCGATTTCAAATCATTCTATAACCATTGATGAAGAGAATAAATTAACAGATTATACATTCGTCATTATTGCAGAACTAATGAAGAGAATAAATGAAAAAGGTATAGCTGATATAATTAATGTCAGCGATGTAATGATGAAAAGAAATTTTGACTCATTATTTACAGAACCGAAAACAGAATATAGTCTTTATGACGTAATTACTGAATTAATGAAAAAGATTAATGATAATAAGAGTTCTGGCGGAAGGGTTGAATTAGAGGTGAATGATGTTAATGAGAAATTAGATAGTAAGGCAGACAAAAATGAGCTTTTAGCTCTGAGTGATAGAGTCACGAACCATGTTCATTATGTAAGTTCAGATGAACAGATTATAACGGATTATCATGATTATTTAACACGAATTGAAGAAAGAGTGAATACGGAAGACCCTAATGAGTATAGATATAAATACATTCGTGCTGAAGGTTATGACATACGTTGTACTGTACAGTATGACACAGGAAAAGAAGCAGAAGCATTTGATTATAATGAGGAAATTTATGCCTCTAGTTTCTTTGTTAATGATGTATTAGTTGAACCAAGATTTACTTTGATGGTTAAGTCAAGAATGAAGGTGGAAGATGCTATTAAAACTAAAGCTGACAAAGATGAACTTGACGCAACGAACAAAGTTTTGGAATCTCATAAACACAATATCTCCGACATAAATTCACTTCAAACTTCATTAGACAGTAAAGCAGACAAAAATCATACGCATGAATCCTTCACAACTGTTAGAGCAGACGACATAATACTGAACTTTGATTTGGGTTCAAGTGCACCTTTAGAGAATCCAAGCACTAGCGTAAAAGATACTCTTAACAATTTAGATAACAGTTGCAGGAACATTGAAGGTCATGCCAGAAACTTTGAAACATATGAACTACCAGCCCTTTTAGATAAAAAAGCAGATAAAGAACATACACACGAATTCTTCACAACTATTAGAGCTGATGAGATAATATTGAATTGGGCTATTGCTTCATCAAGCATGCGTGATGAGGATACGTGCACTAACCTAAAAGATATGGTTGTTGATTTAGCCAATAAAACCGACAAAATATATGTAGATGAAGAATTAAATCGTTATGATACAAAAGCAATGAGTTATACAGAAGAAGCAAAGGAACGGGTCAATGAAAATTATGTGAAGAAGTCGGAAGTAAATGATGCGGTTAATGGTAAAATTAATGAAAGATTTTCGAATATCGATTCATTAACAGTTAATGACATTCAATTACACCATCAATTACCTGGTCAAAAGAATGTGGAATATAATAATCTTACTAATGTTCTCGATGGTTTCAATGAATTTAGAACTGATGCAACAAATGCGATTGTAAGCATGAAGAATGAAATATTGCAAGCTATATATCCTGTTGGTTCTTTATATACATCAATGAACTCAACAAATCCAGCAAGTGTTTTAGGTTTTGGTTCATGGCAGCAGATTGTAGATAAATTCTTATACTGTGCTAACTCTTCAAATCAAACAGGTGGTTCAAAGAAAATTTTAGAAGCAAACCTTCCACCGCATAAGCATACAGGAACGACAAACTTTTCAGGATACCATACGCATACTTTCGATGACCACTACGTAGCTAACTGGCAAAAAGATTTTAACAGTGACAATACATTTAGACCATTAGATACTACATGCAAATGGGTTAAAAGAACAACAGATGAAGGAGGCAACCACCAGCATACATTTACAACAAATCCAACAGGAAGTGGTGCAGATTATATGCCACCGTATATTACAGTTTATGCATGGGTTAGAACGGACTGAAAGTCCTGAGCTCCAAAAGAGCGAACAGCTTAAAATTTACTAAATTTATTTTTACATAAATGAGTTTAAAAGAAGTTTTCGAATCATCACCGTGGAGGTCATTTAAAAAATTCTATGAAGCTGCAAAGAATGCGGGATTTAATGATAGAACAGAAATTAAGAGATTTTATGATGAAAATATAGTTCATCAGGTTAAAGTTAATCCATACGACTACTACCTTCCCATTTATTCTAAAACCCATGATGCATATCAATTTGATACACTCGTTCAGAGTAAGAAAGGAAGAAAGCCACCATTTTTGATTTTCATTAATGTTAATACACGTAAAGCTTTTGCGTATATAATGAAAAATAAAGGAACAAAAGAAGTTTTAAGAGTTTTGCAGACGTTCGTGGCAGAACATCATCCCACTTCATTAACTTCAGACCAGGATTCAGCATACCTCAGTAATGAAATTACTGAATTTTTTATTAAACATAACGTTACTCATTACACGACTGAAGACCATAAACATAATATTTTAGGAATCATTAATCGTTTCATTAGAACGCTAAGAGATTTAAATAAAGAAAGAGATTTTACGGAGGAATCAATGAATAAAGTTATTAATGCTTATAATAAATCAACTCATAACAGCACAGGATTTAAACCAAACGAAATGACTTCAAAAGAGGAGGATGAATACATAAAACAAAAGAGAATGTTAATGGAGGAAAGAAGAAGTTCATCATTACTGCCAGGAACTAAAGTTAGAATCATTCTTGAACATAAACCACATGAAAAGGTAAGAAATCAGTTAAGTGATGATTATTATATCGTTGATTCCTCACAGGGTAATGGTTATTTAATTAAAGCAGCTGACCATTCGGTTGCGTTTTATCCACGATTTCGATTAGTTGAAAGCGAAAATGGAAGATTAGCTAAGACGGTTGATGAAGCAAAAAGAGGTATAGTTAATAAAATTGTGAGTTATGATGAAGACAAAGATGAATACACTGTCGTTTATGAAGGAGGTGTGGATGATAAAATTCCTTCTAGAAATTTGAGAGAATCGAACCCTACACATTTATCGGAACTCGAAAAGGATTACTGGAAGGATAAAAATAAGCCAAAATTAATCAAAAAAAATTTTATGAACTAAATATATTTTATGTCTGTAATTAATTAGTTAATAAGGTAACGGATGAACTGCAGAAATATATTTTATCGTAAATGGTTTTTTTAGGTTATTCAATAATTAATTATTTTTGAAGAACTGAACGTGTCACCACGTCACCATGTCACCAGGTTAATTAACTTCTTTAAAAAATGATGACAACATGACATTTAGACAACAAGCCCGGAAATTCGATGCAGTCCAAAAATAAAGTTAGTTTTAAATTTATTTTTATTTTTTTATTCCTATATAAATGACAGCAACAAACAACAACAGCAACTTTATCATTTCTGATGAAAAAGTTATTGATTCATTAGCTGAGGAATTAGTTGTGGCAGAAACTAAAACCCTCAACGAAAGAATTGGTGAAAACAAGATTGATTTACGTAAACCTAAACACGATGGAGGAAGAGGAAGGAAAACTGGTATGGCTTTATTAGTAAATAAAATTCAAAATTTAACTATTATAGATGTTGATATCAATAAATCATACAATGATGAACTTAAAGAAACAGTTAGAAAAGATATTTTATCAAAACTTTCGGATAAAGACGTTATAGTTAAAACCGCTTCAGGAGGTCTTCACATTTATTGCAACACTAATTTCTTCTATACAGTTTCGAACAGAATGATTAAATGCTATTCCTGCAATGATTATGATATCGATATCATGACTTCAATGGATGATTCAAAGCGTTCATTAGTGATTATGGCTGATTCAAGAGTTCGCAAGAATGCAACAGAACCAATCAATACATACTCATTCATTCGTGGAAGTTATGATTCAACATTAACTAGAACAGTGAATGATATATTAAATGATTTGAATATTAAGGTAAGAGTTGAACAAAAGAATGAAGAAATAAAGACTATCATGAATGAAAACAAAGATGTAAACATTGACGATAAACTTGCCCAGAGCATAGTCGATGGTATTAGTGATTTTGAAGTACATAATGACGGTGGAAACATGAATTTAGAAAAAGAAATAACATTATTTACACTGTTTCAAGCTATTAATTCATTACCTGATCATTTAATTAATGAAGCCTACGATAACGTTTATAACTTCTGCAGTTTAACAGAAAATGCTAAAAGTAATTTTGAAAAAGCACGTAGTAGATATGCACATTTAATGACTTCTCCATTTGTTTTAGTGAAGATTCTAAAACTTTATCAAAAGGAATATTATGATGAATACGTTTTACCTTATTACGTAAGCCAAAAATAACATTTGATATAAAACTTGATGACTAGTTTTTGATAACAGATATTAGACGCAAGGCTGAAAATCATCAGTATAAAAACAGTTCTGAAGTAATTGAGGATTTATCACGTGTAATCCGTTTTGTAGATTGTGGAAACAAATACTTTATTCAAAAGGACTATAATATCCACGACAAAATGAATCAAATATCATTCGTTCTTCAATCAAACATGAAAGAGTCACTTAAAATGATTAAATTATTTAAAGAAGAAGGTAAAACAATAACAGCATGGGATGTACTACTAAATCAATTATCCTCATTAACCGTTAAGGGTGTTTGCTTTAAATCTGATTCCCCAGATGTTTTCTCAACGTTTCAAGGTTATAAATACAACGTTCTCGAAAAGCCTGATTACTCAAAAATTGAGATGTTTATGGATTTCATTAAAGAAGCCATTTGTGATAATAATGATGAAGTGTATAAATACCTTCTCGGCTGGATTGCATCAATGATTCAACATCCAGGAATCAAGAATAAAACAGCAATTATTTTGAAAGGACTTCAGGGAACAGGTAAAAACAGATTTACAGACATTATTTCTGAACTCCTCGCTGGTTATTCAATCAAAAACATTACTGAAATAAGTGAGCTAACGGGTAATTTTAACTCGGTTGTTGAGAATAAAATGTTTCTTGTACTTAATCTCGTAAACGAAAAAGAGGATTTGACGCAGTCAAATCCTCTCTCAAAAAGTGGACTTTACATGGCAAATTTCAAATGCATGTAAGGTCAACTTGGATCAGTTTCAGGATGGAATTGGAGGCCATGAGGTACTGACATTGCATCAGTATCTCATAGCCTCCAATCCCTTCAAAAAATGGGAGAAACTTTGGTCGAATAATTTAACATTCGGCCAAAGTTTCTCCCATAATTAATGAGAATGAAAGGGTAAGAGGCATATAGGGTCACTATATACCTCTTACCCTTTCATTTTCATTTGGAGGTCAACAAACCCGGAGTTAATTGCAAACAATTAACTCCAAATTTGTTTATGTTAAGGAAGGAATTGGAGGGTAAGAGGTACATAGTATGAATATGTACCTCTTACCCTGCAATTCCTTCTAGAAAGTTCCAAAACTTTGGGTTAATTGCAAACTATTAACCCAAAGTTTTGGAACTTTCAAGTGGAGATGGAAGGCTTTGGGGTATATATTAATACAATATACCTCAAAGCCTTCCATCTCCACTACAAATGGGAGAAACTTTGTCCGAATAGTTTAACATTCGGACAAAGTTTCTCCCATCTTTCAATGTAATTGCTACCTGTGAGGTACTGACTTGAAGTCAGTGCTTCACAGGTAGCAATATCCAAAAATTTAAAAACATTTTATCAGTTCGTTAGAGAACTAGAGCCTCCTAGGTACTGAACCAGAATCAGTGCCTAGGGGACACTAGTGATCTATATAAATCTGAGAAACTTTGAGGTAATTGCTACCTTCTCTTAAAATCTAACGGGAATATATAAAGGTAAAGCAATCATTATTAAAGATTCATACACTGTTATAAATAAGAAGCTTAAACTATTTCCTGAAATGTTTCATTTGCAGTGTGGTGAAAAGGAAGTATTTCCGTATCAATATTATTCAAGCTCTTTATTAGTTAATGATAACAAAACTGGCGTAATTTCTGAAGCGTGTAAGTTTGTAAAAGATATTGAAACGTTCATGAAAAACATAGATTTAATCGAAAACTGCAGAATAGATGAAAACCATTTCGATTTAGAAAAATATAGCTCATTTTATTGCAAACAGGACGTAAGGATTTTAAGAGAAGGTTTTGTTAAGTTCAGAAATGATATATTGAAAGAGTTTGATTTAAACGTTTATGATTACGTTAGCATTTGTTCAATCGCTAACAAACTTTTCGAAAACAGAGTATATTTCCCGAATGGAAATTTATATGACCTTTCAAATAAACCAAGAGAATTTATTTCACGCTGTATTCAAGGTGGAAGATGTATGCTGTCAGATAACATGAAACAAAAGAGCGAAAAGAAACTCATTGCTGACTTCGATGCTGTTTCATTATATCCCTCAGCTATTGCGAGACTTTATACTTTAGAAGGAATTCCAAAGGTTATGAAGAAAGAAATGTTAAACAGTGAATATTTGTTAAAACATTTATTCGATGATGACCAGGGCGAGCCTGAAGGTGAGAAATTCATTTCCGGATTCTTTGTTTTAATAAAAATAACCGAGATTAAGATTAAAAGGCACTTTCCATTAATAACAGTAGATCCAGAATTAAACCCGGAGCTAGGGATGCGACGGTTTTACGTCATGACCGTTTAAAAATAGAATAATACGCCATTTTTGGGGCCGAATGGCGGCTACTTCGTACCCGCCATTCGGCCGAATAACAAAACAATACAAAATTATCGCCGTCCTTTTTTTCTTTCTTTTTTTTCTCTCTCTTTCTTTTCTCTTTCCTCTTTTTACTCCTCTTTCTCTTTTCATCATTAAACGTAGAAAGATATATTAATATTATTTTAAAATTAAAAAAAATAAAGAAAGTATAATAAGTAATTATTTAGTTATCGATATATATATGTAAAGTGATAATCTGAGGATAATCTGAGGAGGAGTCTGAGGATTAGACCGAGGAGTAGTTTGAGGAGTTTGATGATAATCTGAGGAGTTTGAGGAGTAGTTTGAGGAGTAGTCTGTGGATAATTTGAGGGGTTTGAGGAGTAGTCTGAGGAGTAGTCTGAGGAGTTTGAGGAGTAGTCTGAGGAGTTTGAGGATAATCTGAGGAGGTTGAGGAGTAGTCTGAGGAGTAGTTTGAGGAGTAGTCTGAGGAGTAGTTTGAGGAGTAGTCTGAGGAGTAGTCTGAGGAGTTTGAGGATAATCTGAGGAATTTGAGGATAATCTGAGGAGTTGTCTGAGGAGTAGTTTCAAGAGTTGTCTGAGGATAATTTGAGGAGTTTGAGGAGTAGTCTGAGGAGTTTGAGGATAATCTGAGGAGGAGTCTGAGGATAATCTGAGTAGTTTGAGGATAATCTGAGGAGGAGTCTGAGGATTAGACCGAGGAGTAGTCTGAGGAGTTTGAGGATAATCTGAGGAGGAGTTTGAGGAGTAGTCCGAGGAGTAGTCTGAGGAGTTTGAGGATAATCTGAGGAGTTGTCTGAGGAGTAGTTTCAAGAGTTGTCTGAGGATAATTTGAGGAGTTTGAGGAGTAGTCTGAGGAGTTTGAGGATAATCTGAGGAGGAGTCTGAGGATAATCTGAGTAGTTTGAGGATAATCTGAGGAGGAGTCTGAGGATTAGACCGAGGAGTAGTCTGAGGAGTTTGAGGATAATCTGAGGAGGAGTTTGAGGAGTAGTCCGAGGAGTAGTCTGAGGAGTTTGAGGATAATCTGAGGAGTTGTCTGAGGAGTAGTTTCAAGAGTTGTCTGAGGATAATTTGAGGAGTTTGAGGAGTAGTCTGAGGAGTTTGAGGATAATCTGAGGAGGAGTCTGAGGATTAGACCGAGGAGTAGTCTGAGGAGTTTGAGGATAATCTGAGGAGGAGTTTGAGGAGTAGTTTGAGGAGTAGTCTGAGGAGTAGTCTGAGGAGTTTGAGGATAATCTGAGGAGTTGTCTGAGGAGTAGTTTCAAGAGTTGTCTGAGGATAATTTGAGGAGTTTGAGGAGTAGTCTGAGGAGTTTGAGGATAATCTGAGGAGGAGTCTGAGGATAATCTGAGGAGGAGTTTGAGGAGTAGTTTGAGGATAATCTGAGGAGGAGTCTGAGGATTAGACCGAGGAGTAGTCTGAGGAGTTTGAGGATAATCTGAGGAGGAGTTTGAGGAGTAGTTTGAGGAGTAGTCTGAGGAGTAGTCTGAGGAGTTTGAGGATAATCTGAGGAGGAGTCTGAGGATAATCTGAGGAGTTGTCTGAGGAGTAGTTTCAAGAGTTGTCTGAGGATAATTTGAGGAGTTTGAGGAGTAGTCTGAGGAGTTTGAGGATAATCTGAGGAGGAGTCTGATGAGGAGGGGTCTAAGGAGTAGTCTGAAGAGTAGTCTCAGGAGGAAGATCTGAGGAGGAGTCTTATGAGGAAGATCTGAGGAGGAGTCTGATGAGGAGGGGTCTAAGGAGTAGTCTGAAGAGTAGTCTCAGGAGGAAGATCTGAGGAGGAGTCTTATGAGGAAGATCTGAGGAGGAGTCTGATGAGGAGGGGTCTAAGGAGTAGTCTGAAGAGTAGTCTCAGGAGGAAGATCTGAGGAGGAGTCTTATGAGGAAGATCTGAGGAGGAGTCTTATGAGGAAGATCTGAGGAGTAGTCTGATGAGGAGGGGTCTAAGGAGTAGTCTGAGGATGATCTGAGGATAACCTGATGACTAGTCTAGGAGTGGTCTAATAAAAATGTAAAATATTTTCAAAGAAAAAATTCTATGAATTTTATATTTTAATTCTTAGCATTATACTGAATAAAATAAACATAAATATCAAAATTTGAAATTGAACACGCCAAAAAATTGATAATCCACATTCAATATTTTGTATGTGGCGTACTTTTTGAATACTCGCCATACGCCTTGGAGTTCTCAATTTTGAATTCGCCTTTATTTGGGCGACCTCAGAAAAATACGCCATTAAGAAAATATTGTATGAGATTTTAAATTTGAACACGCTCTACCTTAAGGAATTAAATTTATTAAGATATATTTATATATAATAAACGATTACTTAAAAAAGTATTTCATCGCTTATGTAAGTTTCAAAAAAATCACGAAAATAAAAAAATCAAGATTAAAATTTTATTTTTAATTTTTGAATTTCTCAAATGGCGAAATTTTTGGGCGAACAAAAAAAATGTACGCCCGGTCAAATGGCGTGTTTAACGCATCCCTACCCGGAGCTAAAGGTTCCAAGAAGTTCTAACACATGCTGTTTAATGTATGTGGACCACATAGCTTTGCAGGATTTAATAAAATATCAGGGCATCAGCTGCGAAGTATTACAGGGTTACTACTACGATGAAAAAAGAGATTTTAGAATAAGAGATGAAGTTAAGAAATTATTTGAATTGAGATTAAAGTATAAGAAGGAAGAAAATCCGCTACAAGAAAATATTAAATTAATTTTGAACAGTATTTATGGAAAAACTATTTTGTCCCCGATAGAGTCGAAAATTAAAATCATTGATGATAAAGATGCTGTTAGGTATGCCATCAGAAATTATAACCATATCATTAAATTTGAAGGTTTAGATGGTTCGGATAAAACTATTTTCAAACTAACTAAAAGCATTTGCAGACACTTTAACTTTTGCCCCTTAGGTGTTAATATCTTATCTATGTCGAAACGTATCATGAATGAAGTATTTTGCACTGCTGAGGATATGGGCTTAAGTATCTTTTACCAGGACTGTGATAGCATGCATATTTTCAATGAAGATATACCACGTTTAGCTCAAGAATTTAAGAAGAGATATGGTCGTGAATTAATAGGAAAGAATTTAGGTCAGTTTCATTCAGATTTTGCAGAAATCACAAAAGATAAACAAAGTTTAGCTTACAAGTCGATATTTTGTGGAAAGAAGACTTACATAGACCTTTTAATAAATGACATTGGTGAAGTTGCATTTCATGCACGTATGAAAGGCGTAAAACAAGATGTCATTGCTTTAACCGCTAACGAAATGTTTCCTGACGCAGTACAATGCTATTATAATGAAGATAAGAACATTCATATTCCTGTTGGAAAACATGATAAAGATTCTGAGTTCAGTATAATGAAATTATATCAAGCCCTTCACGACGGTCAGGAAATCGCATTTGATTTATGCAAATCAACAGCACCCTGTTTTGAAGAGAAGTTTAACTTTTCACTAACGACTAAAAATACTTTCATAAGGAAATTAAAGTTCTGAAGTCATTAATGATAAAAATAAATGACTTCATTATTTTTGTCATTTATGCATAACCATTATCTTTCTTAAATTTTGCAATAGATAACTTTGTTCTTCTTCCTTCTATATCTGTAATGTTTATATAATTTTGTTTATACTGACGCAAGACATTACATTTTCTATATTGAGTTCCCATAAAATAATAAAATGAATCTTCACTCAGGACATAAAAGTAATTTTCTAGGGTAAATTTTGAATATTGAATGATTTCAATCGCGTCTTCAGGAAGTGAATCAATAATTTCAAACCAATAACCATTAGAACCAGATATATTTCTCATGTTTTCTTTTCTCGAAGTCCATCGTAAATTTGAAATGTGATAATCTCCTCTATCTCTATTTATATGATCGACTTCACGAAGCCCATCAGGATTAGGAATGAAAGTTTCAGCAACTATCCTATGTTTAAATAGTTTATGTTTGTTAAGATTAACACAAATATAACCATCACCATTATCGAATTCACTAACAACTCTTTTATTAGATATTCTTCTTATAGTATAAGGAAATTCAGTGAAAATTTCATATTCGTTATCATGTTCGAGTGTTTGCCAGCTCATCTTTTTATAAAAATAAAAAATTCAAAAAATTAAAAATTAACTAGATTTATTTTTTTATATTAAATCATGTAATCGTTTAAATTTACTATATGTAATGCACGTTCTTTTTCTATTTACATCACGAACATTAACATATAATGAACCATTTATGTTTTCATTAATGTAAAGTTCTTTATATCTACGTCCATTATAATAATAAAATAAATCTGCATCAATGTCATAAAATAAATCCTCAAATTCATGATTTCCATAGGATTTAATCACTATTGAATTTTCACTGATTTCATCAACGAAATTATATTCTACTCCATTTACTCTACATCTATTTCTATTATTTTCCATCGTTTTATAAAAATAAAAAAATCAGAAAATTAAAAATTAACTAGATTTATTTTTATTCATCACCTCCATCAGCAGCTAAATTATAATCATCAATTCTAACAGCAGGGATGCCGGCTGGTCTAACTTGAATAGCGAAACAAGCATTTCTAAGAAATCCTAATAAAGGTTTGACAGTGTATTTTTCGCTTATATTTGTATCATCAGCTTTAACACCTAATTTATATGTAATTGGTGCCGTTGATGTTTGACCCTGTTGAAATGTGAAATCAGTTTCCGTAGGGAATCCACAGAGGAAATGAGTGTTATCGTATGATTCATATAAATGTTTAACGCTTCCATCATCAATTAACGACCTCATCACATCTTCATTAAATCCTATCATATCGTTATTTGTCTTGCATGCATTAGCAACCATTTCATATAACACAGGACCATAAGAGCTTTCGGGTTCAGCTGGCATACTTCCATAAGCGCCCATTGATAATTGAAGGGTTTCAAATTGAGGATTTTCGAAATTCACGATATAATTATCATTCTTCCTAAATAAAGCCCAAATGCTTTTAACGTTAATTGGTGTATAAGCTGCTGTGAAAGTTGCTGATGGTGAACCTTTACTGAACGAACCGTCCATAGGAATCCAGTCCATTACTTTAATTGGAAAACATAAAGCTTGTGATGTATAATGATCGACTAATTCAGTGTAAATATTTGGATCGAGTGAAAATGCTTTAGGATGAATGAAGCAATCAATGAATTCAGCTGATTTTTCGTTAATCTTTGTTCAACTGTTGAAACAGTAATTTCACCATTTGATTTAGAAACTGCTGTTATCATATTGAATGGTTCATTCCATGGAACAAATTTATTAGTTGGTGGGTCATAATTATCTTTTACCTGACTGATTAAAGAAGGATTATGAGCTAAAATATTTTCTACCGGCAGTGCTGTTACATGGAATGCATCGCTACTAAATTTAACCTTTAACTGAATGTTGCCTGCAAAAGCAGGAATAAATCTAATAACTTCTAGAATAAGGAATTTACGACATGGAATCTTTATTTTAATGTCAAAATTAATTTCAGCGCCTGCCGCTAAAGGTCCTGAGATAATTTGACCTGTTCGAACTGTTCCAGAACGTTTCCATACATCTTTATGTCTCGTTTTTGAGAAAACATCAACTTTCTTTATTTGTTCTGTAGTCTGTGAATTAGAAATGATATATGCTTCTTCTCTTGCGTTATCCTGACTATAAATAACTCTTCCATTTGCTAATAACTGATGCTTCAATGGTGTAAATTGATTCATCAAAACGCCAAAGAAACCTGGAGAATTAGTATTTGGAATTGATGAACCAGTAATAGCATTATCCAGATATATTTACTTTTATAGGTAGTTGTAAGGAATGTGTTATAAAGGTCTAGCATATTTTCAC